ATGAATCATATTCTCTTCATTCCAGGAAGAATACAGAGAAACCTGGGTAACTTTCCTAGGACAATGCAGTGAGGAGGAATGGCCAGGGGAACAAAACCAGATATTGGCCCAGTTATAAACATAATGAACATTTATGTTGTGTGGAAGGCACAGATATACTAGAAACGAGCTATGATCTTCACATGCTACAGAGCTATTTCAGCTTCACATTCCTGGAGGAACTTTTCTGGGATACTGTCTCCTGTACTGTTTATGTCACCTGTGTGTACCAGATCTCAAATGTAGGAAAAAATTGCATGGCTTTGAGATATAGTTGCTACAGTGAAGCAAGCAGGAGCCACACATTTATTAGTCACAAGTTTGAATGTTTCACTATGGGTTTCCACTGTTTCTATCAACCCAGAGATGATTCCATTCAACCTGGAATATCTGAATAGTTAGACACAGAAATGTACAGAGGCAGCAAGACCTCTGCCCAATAGCCTGATGACAGGAGGAAGAGGTGAGTTCCATGCAAATCTTTCATTGTATTTCGTGTCTCTAAAGCACAAATTTCAGCTGCTCACTATGTATTATACACTTGGTCTCCTGTCTGGCACATAGAAAGGACCCAATGGGAAGTAATGAATAACACACAAAATAGGGCTTCCATAAAACAGAAGATGGATCCACAGTATACTTTATTCCCAACCCCCAGGATTACCACCTGCTGCCTCTAAGTATTCTGCCATGATTATTTCATGTCACTGGAATGACGTGTCATTATCAGGATATTATAAGAGGTCAGAGTTCATGTTACTATGTTCAGTGAGAAAAGAACCAGGTTACAAAATTCAACATAAGTATGATTGCAGCACTTTCCTTAGATACACATGCACATATAGAAAAACACGGGTGACATCAAAATATTAATAGTTTTAAATTTTTGAATAGTTTTGAGTCATCATGGTTGATTCCTTTTTATTCTCTTCAAAATGTTTACAATGCTTATAAATTAGTTTTATCACAGCAAAACTTTTAACATAACCCTACATGCTTATTGTAACAATGTGAGTCAGAGACCACCTGAAAGGCTTCTGTGAAAGCCAGAAGCCCTAAGATTTAGTATGCCTGGAAGCAGGCAGATGGGGGCTGAAAAGACCATCCAAGGGGAACAAAGAGAAGAGGGGCTTTTTATAAGGCTTTTACAAGCCTTATAAGAGAGAAGTCTGACAAGGGACATTAGGTGAGGAGGTCTAAGCAAACATCAGTGATTCAAGTTGTCATTACATCCAGTGAAAATGAATGGATGTTAACAGATGTCCTGGTGCAGAGAAGAGTCCATTCTTTCCTTTGCCTTATCTCTTAAGACATCCTGTCTTATGTTTGCTGAGGGCAGCACCTGTGCTGGGCTGTGGCTCTTGGCTCATCTGCATTTGTTCTCAGCTTTTGGCTGAGAACAATGTGGCTGCTGAAAACCAGGTTAGATCCTGGGAAAGTAATGCCCGAGTTAAAACACTTGCATAAGACACTTGCATATACATTGCCCCGTGGTTATTTTGAATTTCTTTTCTGTGTGTCCAAATGATAACCTTATCTCCTCAAGTAGAATGAAGTGGACTATAGGGACAATGCTTCCTATTTTATTTGCCTGATTGCCTTTTTTATTAGATTCTTATGTTCATCAGTTTCTGTGCAGAAACATTTGCTCAGTGTGGCTTCTTTCTGCTATCTAAGAAATGGAATCCCAGACACCAAATTGTATTATGTATGCGTGAGGACAATGCAAATATTGGCCTAATGTTATGTTAAAACTCCCAGCAAACTTTCTCTAATTCCCTTACAAAACCCTATAAGGTTTCCCAAGGCTGTGCACTCCTAAGATCCCCTCTGACTCTGAACATGGCACATCACCCTCCTTAGAATACAGGCTGATGATTCTAAGTGCCAGGAGAAGAATGCCTTCAGAATGGTACCAGTTCATTCTCAGAATTGATTTGGAGACAAAATCTGGGCATTCCAAAACTAAGTTACTAACTGATTCAAAAAATATCATGTGAAAACCATAGTGAGAATGTGTTGAGAACAAACAAGTCTTTGTGGGTCTTGCCCCCTTAATGCAGGAAAAATCCTCAGAGCACATATGTAATTTAAGGACATTTTCCTCAATTCTACAATGTCCCACTGTCAATAGATGCTGGCTATGGAAATAGTCCACCATTGTGATTTGCATCTGCAGTGTCCTGCGAAGACCCTCTTGTTGAAGGGCTTCACAGTCCATGGAGCTATGGGGCCTTTGAGAGCTGGTAGAATCTTTAAGAGGTGAGGCCCAGAGGAGAATCCTCATGTCATTGGATGCATGACCTTGAAGGGGACAGTGGGACTCTGCACCTCTTTCTTTTTCACCATCAGCCATGAGATGAGTGAATTTGCTTTTCCTGCCATGATACTGTGCTATAGCAGGGCACAAGCACTGATGTGAACCTATCATGGTCTGAAACCTCTGAAACTGTAAGGTACAATAAGCTTTATAAAATGACTCTTTTCTGGTATTTGCTTATAATAATGTTACAGTTGAATGAGCCACAATTATTCCAGCTCTTGTACATGACAAGGAAAGAGTTGCCAAGCATATACCTTGTAGTAAGTACAAAGTAGCCATGTTCATGGAAGTTCACAGGACAGTAGCTGCAGGAACAGGCAGAAGGGTGAAGAGAAAAAGGAGGAGAAAGAGGAGCCCTCAGGAAGTCAGGTTTCCAGTATTTAAAGAATCAGATGCCTCTCACTCCAGGGGACTCCCATTTGGTCTCTCACTGGAGTCCATGGTCTTCTGCCTCAGACTCTGCAATCTCCTAAATTTAAACAGGGATAATTGTTAGTGTGTTGCTGTGTTTATTGTTGAATGAGGTGAAAGGAGTCACTCCGTGAACTTGAAGGCATTTCATTTTTCTTTTGTTGTTTCATTCATTCAATTGATCATTCACTCATTTATTCAGTCAACAAAATTCAGTAATTATTTAGGATACTTTCAATATTTCTAACATTGTCAGACACTAGAAGGGATGAGACAGAATATTTATTTTCCCAGGTGGTTTTTTAATGAAAATCATAATGTGATACATGTGATGCTTCTGATCTATGTCACACATTATGGGAATTTCAAGGCTCTACCAGCCTACACAGTTCTCAAATTAAAGTGCCTTACTCACATGGAACTCCTTCTCAAATAACTGAGAATTAGGAAAACATTTCCCCTCTACATGTGAAGTTTTATTTTATTTTTGTGGTACTGGAGATCAAACTCAGGAACCTATCCATGCTAGGTAAGTCCTCTCCCACTGAGCTACACTTCCCAGCCATGTTAAGTTTTAAACCAAAGTAGTGGAGAGCTCCCTTTTCTGGCCCATGGGGAGGGGCCTCACTGCCTATAGCTGCTCATGCCTTGGCCATTCCTATGCATCAAATCCATGTAACAGAAACTGTGCCATATGCAAGCAAGTAACAAATTCAGAAAGGCTAACAGAACTTAAGAGGGCCAAAGGTAAGAATTTTTTTTTTTTATGTGAATAATCAAGTTTTCTACAGGGATTGTTTGAAAGTGTGTTTGGTGTGCTCCAGAAGCTTTATATCCATTTGTGGTATTAAAGAAGAGAAAGACTCTGGCAATAAGTCTTATTTTTTTTTTTCTTGCCAAGGAGAATTCTAAGGTTGGCATTCTCTTGTAAATACCTTGTTGGCAGTAATCGCTCCCCTGGTGTTGCGATGTAATGCTGCATTTCCTTTCATCTAAGCTGTGTATGTTTCAATATCTGACCATTCAAGTAATTTTAACAAGAGACACAAAAAGAAATTACTTCAGCCGGTTTTCTGAGATGTTGGGATAGATGCTGTCATTTATAGCCACAAGCTAGAAGAAATCTCTTCAAGGAGCAGGGGAATCTGTCCCTGGAACCTTATCTGTTTTATTGCAACATGATGAAATAGGAACACTATCACATACTGTGTTTTCATCCACTGATAGACTTGGCTTTTAGTCTTCAGTGATAATAATTAATACAAATTCTCAATGACTTACTCAACCACAGAAATAGGGATTTACCATCAATCATCTTATAAAAAGCCAGAAATGCAATTTGAAATTGGAGAAATTCAGCCAAAGTAGAGATTTCCCATAATGCCAGTGAGCCCGTGGGTCTCAGCTTGGTGTCTCTACTAAAAGATCCATCTCTCTCTGTGCAGGCACAGTTGGCTGAGTTTGTGCTTCAGATGCATAAGCAGCCTCAGGGGTTTCCCTTTCTTGGCAAATACAATCAGACCATGAAGCGATTTGGGGTTTCAGTAGAAGACTTACTATACCCATGAGCTGTGTGCTTAAACAAGAAGATTTTCATTAAAAAGCCAAATAATGAATTAGTTCAGCAAACAGATCACTTGGACATGATGTCTCATCAGCATTTATTTAAATCTGGCATCATCAAAGCAGATAATTCTTTCATTTCTAACTATGCATGAAAGATTTAGTTTGTATCATGCAATGTTCTAGGCCCTGGGATTTCAGTAAAAACAAAACCAAAAACAAAAAGACAAATTTCCTTCCCCTGTGGTACTTAAAACTGGAGGATCATGAGGATTAACAAATTAAAAGAGGACAGAGAAAGAGAAGGGTGAGGAGAGAGGAAGGGGCAAGAACCTCCTAGGAATCATGGGATATGTGTATATACCTATGTTAGTCCAGACCTTTACATAGCTAAATAAGGTTTTGTACGAGGCCTTGGAGCTGCACTGAACATCTGCACAGTGCTTACCACAGCAAACAGTGATGCAGAGTTTGATCCTAGTAACAGGTTTGGCTGGTGGCAGAAAGCCCTGTAGCCACTTAACAAATTAAACTTCAAATAACTAACTAGTTAAGTTATAACAAATTGGCTTATTTATTGACTAGACTGTAGCCAATTAACTTGTTTTCCAAGACTCACTACCATCTGATCTTATTGGCTAGCATTCTCAGACTCTGCTCTAGTCTCAGGAGTTGTCCAATCATGGATTGATTTTGTTTTGCTCAAACTGTCTGAATTTAATTGAGCTAAGGAATTTTCCTTTTAACAGTTTTCACGTTAAAGAACCAAAGTAGAACTCCAGTAGCCCGAGGAGCATCTGGTAACCAGACCCGGATACTACAAGTCTCTTGTGTTTCTGTCTTGCTGTATCTGGGCATTACAGGTACGTTTTCTCTCAGACTCTGAAGCTCTGAGTATTTGTGATTTGAGCTGTCTGAGTGTGAGGAATTTTGATCCAAACTAGTTTGTAAGTTGTGACAGCAAAACGATTGGATTCTGTAATTTTAAAAAAAAGGCTCAAGTATCTTACTAGGCCAGACAAACTAAACTATATTCAGCAGGAACTGGCCTGGTCTTGCAGAGAGACTACCTTTTGAAACCTCATCCAGGGTTGATTTATGCTTATAACCTTGGAGTGGTTCTCTGTTTGTGCTGTGGGAGACCACAGTGATCTCTAAGGGGCATGTGGGGACTGCCTGTGTTAGGGAGATACTGGACCAGGTCTAGGACCTGGACTATTTCCAGTTGGAACTTTAGCCAACTTCATGTACAAGAAGATACAGAACCTGTACTTCTAGATAAATGAGTAAGTCTTACCATGAATAATTTGGAATTATTTGTCCACAATAAAGAAGTTTCAGCTTGGATAAAATAATTTGTAGTGTACATTAAAAGAAATCAAAGACTCTATAAAATCAGTGAACTTGGTACAGAGAGCCTTTTAAAAGGTTAAATTAGGAGAGAAAAAAGAGGTAGTTGTGGAAACTGAGCCTTAAATGACACAGGTCTTCAACTAACTTTGTGCTTCAATTAAGATTTAAAGCACAGAACATTACTATATAAGTTCTCTGAGTGTAGCAAGGAAGATGGGCTGTCCCTGATGTGTGTTAAGGATGCCACCTACGCTCAGTCATTTAGTTCATATAGGAAAGACAGGACAGGATAGATTGGAAAGCATCCTGTTATTATTCTGAGACAATTTTAGTAAAGGGAATTTATATTTGTGGAGTGAGTCTTCATGTAGAGGGGTCTTCTTCATAGGGAGGAGGAGCTCCTTAGAATGGAGGTGGTGTCTTGTGTCCCTATAAGGAGCCTCACTGGGACACTTGCTGTAATGAGGCCTTATACTTCTTGAAGTTTTTGTTTTGGTTTTGTTTTGGTGTCTAGGCAGATGATAGCATTTGGACCAGAAATCTGATGTTAACCAGGTCAGTCTAGGAAAAGGCAGAGTCTTTTCAGTCTCCAGGATGAAATGAGTAAAGTGGTTAGGGGTAAAGAGAGCGTTCTCAGGGTGAATGGTGTTTGGAGATGGTGGATGGACCTGCAGGATAAACAATGAATTGGGACAAGGTCCTGCCAAGTGTGCTGAATTTATATGTCTGTGATGAGAGGTAATATTTAGAGGACTGATTAAAAACAACTTCCAAATGAACTCAACTATTAATTAATGGTTTTGCCTTTTGTTTTGTTCAAAGACCTTCAAATTAAGGTAATCAATAAGCTAAAGCAAAAATATTTGGGGACATTATTTCCTGAACTCTTTTGATGGCAAATTTTCTCTAAGGAGCAAATCAAACATGATTGGTAAGGATGAGTAAATTAGGTACATATAAATGGACAAAGGTTTATGAATGGGCTTGTCTGGAACCTGAATCATGTTAAGTGAACTAAGTACTAAATATATATGAACTGTATGAGTCATTAAATTAAAATACTAAAACTTGTTCTTTAACTGTTATGATTTTTGTTCTGTGGTGGGGGGGTCTGAAAACAGGGTGATTCTGCAAGTGGATTTCCCTATATTGATTGAAGAAAGCTACTAGAAATCATTATAAACATAAAAGTTGTTCAGTACTTTCATTGTGGAAATATGTAGTGTCTTGATTAATTAGCAAACACTGAGTAATGAAATAAACTTATTCAACAGATATTTTACCCTCAATGTTGCACATTCTACTAGGGCCAGAAATGTAATGAAAAGTTCGTTGTAGTTCCTTTTCTCATTGAGTGTTATAGGAGAAACAAATGAATTCACAGTAAAAGAGCATATATATATAAATTATAAAAGGTGCTAAAGGGAAAAGAACTGTCCACTCATTTTTACTTGTGCTGCCTGAAAAACAATGAATCATTGAGTCAGACTCTTTGTCATTTATTGCCACCTACCTAGTACCAGACAGCTCTGGTTTCACGGTTCAGTGCTTGATAATGGACACATATTGCTAGTTGAAAAAATCTTATTTTCATGCAATATAAGGAGTCTAAGTGTTTGGAGTAGACAAGGGAAGGGTTACAGTATGATGAAATGTTTCAAAAATTGTGAAAAGTATTCATTTGCAAATGTTGATATAAGACAGCTCAAAATTGTCAACTAGGTTATCTCTACAAATTAAGTTTACTAATTTTTAAAACTACTATATATATGGTAATTGCAACTAGAAATGACTCTTTATGCAAGAAAAGTGAGACGTTTTGGTAGGCTGAACATATCTGGTATGAAAAATATGTCTTTAAGGGGAAAAGAAAATTTTTGACTTAAGGTAGAAAGACATTATTATAAAATGAGAGATTTACTGTTGTAAATCTTGTGAAGAGAATTTTATGATCCAGCTTGATAGAATTAGAAAAGAATTAATACAAATTTCTGATAACTAAGTATTAACACCAATGGTATTAATATGCAGAAGTTAGAACTGCTCACCTATGTTCAAATGAAGTTCACTTGGAGAATTGCTTTTAATAGAAACTAGAGTTTATTACAACTTTAAGTTATGAAAACTGAGCCCTCTCTATTGAAGAGCTGCCCCCCCCACTTCCATGATTATCTGATTTTCTTTTGAAGTCTCTTAGTTATTATTTTGGTTAAATGAATGACTATTTTGTGGTGACCTGGGATCTTTTTTTCTAAACTAAAGGTTTTGAGTTTTGATATGCCAGTTTTCCCCAAACTGAATCTCATTAATTCTTTTGACCTCAAGTTAGAACACTCCAGAATGGCCTCCGGAGAATCTGGAAAGGCAACAGTAACTCTAACCTGTTTGATACAGAAATTATGGTCAAAAATGATACTCTGACCTTACAGCAACTTAGAAAAGTTTATTTTTATGAATAATATTTGCATGGATGTGTGATCATGCACTTCAAACTATATGAAATCTGAAAAAGTCTGGTAGCCCTGATGAATGCTGTCAGTTATAATTCTAGTTACTAAGATGCTGTGTGAAACAGAAGCAAATGAATCCTGCCAGTTGTCATTGAAATGAACTCTCGGGGCTGGGGATTTAGCTCAGCGGCATAAGCACCTGCCTTGGAAGCAGGCAGTCATGAGTTCGATCCCTGGTACTGATAAAAATGAAAAAGACAAAAAAAAAAAAAAAAAAAAAAAAGAAAAAGAAAAAAAGAAATGAACTCTCCTCAGATCTTTAATCATGGCCATTTCAGTCTGGTCATTCCATAGAGTGTTAACGGTTGAGTCTGGCCTTGAAGTGTTTCACCTTTAAGGAGATTCATGAAAAAGACTCATCATCTGCCCGCCTCCCTGGCAAGCAGCCGTGGCTCAGGCAAGCAGCGGCCACCCCAGCGGGAGAACCACCAGTGTCTCCTGAGATTGGCGCCGTGTTGGAACTTGGGGCGCTGGGAAGACAAGCAATCTGCTGGCCTCCCTGGTATGTGGCCATGAGCCTACCGGTGTGTGGGCAGATAATCAAACATCCCATCCCCCCTGTCTTCCCCCGAGACCCCTTCTCAAATGGGAGCCAGAGGTCTGAGCATCTCTTGGGAGGTTGACCATATGTAATTTAGCAAATAAGGGGGATTTCCTTCTACCATCTCTTTGAAGGCAATAATGTTATCACTGTTTTGCTTTGTTCTGATTAATTGTATTGCTCTATTCAATATTATGCTTTGGTAAGTTCTATAATGTTCTGTATTTCATTGGATTTTGCTGTATCTGATTGAAAGAACACCTATTGTGAAGATACTATGGCACCTATTACTGCTATCCTGGTGTCCTGCTGTGAAGTTCTGTACCAATTTCACTGCACTGTCTCAGCTTGCTTTGTTCTGTCTTGTTCTGTTGTATTTCACTACCTTCAAAATAATAAAAAAAAATTTAAAGAAAAAGACAGATTTGGCACATGTTTTTGATGCCTGAGATCATATCATTGGACAGGATAAGAATTCCTAGAGCTCTAGTGGGGAGATTGATTACTCATAAAATGACTTCTCTACCATCAAGCAGAACAGGCTTTAACTGAAAACCAGGGAAAGGCTCCGATAGATTCTTTTGCTGGGTTAACCAGTGCTAGGATTGCTGAGATACGCAATTTGAATGACTTCTTTCTAGTTAACCAGTAATGATAACTAAACTAAATTTCTCTTGCCCGCCCTTCTCACTTAACAAGGACTAGGCTAGGGACTAGACTTTCAGACACTTGTCCTCACACTATATCTCTACTTAGCAAACTTGCAGGTTGCTGTAATACTTACTAATTGAACTGGGAAAAATTGGAGCAGCTGTTGCATGTGAATTGATACATGGGGCGTTACAGGAACACACAAGAAAATTAACATATAGTCTGTTTAACTGAAATGATGGACTCCTAATCTGCCTTTTCTCTTTACTTGCATGATTTATAGCAGTTGCCTTAGATCACAGTGGTGGTGAACCTAGGGCATGCACACTGCAGGGGGCCTGCTGAGCCCTCTCTGCTGGCCTGCAAGTCAAGTTGTCCCACCAGGTAAGTATTGGATAGCAGGTATTTGTTTTATTTTCTAAACTAAAACATCAGTATTCAGGTTTAATTGAAGTGTTGACACTTTGTGGTAAACAGGTGGATTTTGGGTTGCAGTTTGAGAATTCAGTCTTCAAAAGTTCCACTCTAACTGGTTTAGGAGGACCCTAGATGAGAAGCATGCCTCTATCTCTTGGTATTGTCCTCCTAGCAGTCATAACGGCATTCCCCCTGGTGCACTGTGTTCCCTCACTCTTAAATATTTGTGTAGCCATCTGTTGAATCTAAATGGTCTGTTTCCAGCTGGAATGAGAACTCATGCACGATCATGAGGACGTTATAACCTGTAGGTGATGTATGGTACTAGGAGCACAGGATGACAGTGATAGAGTGGACCTGCTACTCTGAGTTTTGGTATGAGAATAACCAACAGAGTGGAATTTTTGATGTATTGTAGGACAGTGTGTGTTTGGACTGGACACCTGTACTGGGTTCAATGGACGAAACCAAAACAGAGTTTAATCCCAGTAACAGAACTTTGGCTGATTGTAGAAGAACTTAGAGCCATTAATTAATAGAATATAAACTACTGCAACCTACTGGTGGGTTGGTGAGGCTATTGCCTATTGTTTTTGATACCTCATGTTTTTGCCTAAAATTGTTATCTGATCATTTGGAGATCTCAGAACCTACTCTGGGGCTAGTAGCTGCCTGATTTGAAGTTGTTTTGTTTTGCTCAAATAAACTCTCCCAAATTGGTATAAGGAATTTTTCTTTTTACACATTAGCTCAACTGTAGCTCAGAGATACTTACAAATGAGAGCACTTAATTTTTAAAGTCAGAAGGCTACTATAACTGAGGAATCTGAGTTACTTATCTGGAGCATAACAACAATGGCGTCTGCTGTGCTCCTGAGTGTAACATGGAAACAAGACCCTACTCACAACAGTGATAGAAAGAATACTAATACACTTGCCTCTCTTCCAGAGTCATAACTGGTACTGTCATGAATGATTCTGATAAGTCATGCCATACTCATTTAAGTATTTATCAAACTTATTTTGAGTGAGAATCTTTTCCTGTCCCATGTGTGAACATTTTACCTTGTATTATAATAGTTATCACATGGGTTTGATGACTTGTGGAAGATACATCATTAAAAAGAGGGCATTATACACCTGATTGCTCAGTCCTACTAAAGAGCAGCCGGGGATGACATAAGAGTAACATTTCCTCACTGCAGATTCAAGCATAGAGTGTGGATCTGCTCAGTTTGAGGACTGATCTGTCAGTGCTGGGGGTGGAGAGATGAAAAAGATGCAGTATTTTGCTTTCAAGATGCCATATAATGAATATATGTATGTCAACTGAAATTTATAATCCTGTAATATGTGACACAGTTGTGAGAAAAGTCCAGGGTAGCAGAAAAACACAGATCTCATGGCTAACCCTGGAGGAGACATGGGTAAAAGTGGGACTTTCTGGAGGAAGTAACAGAAACTGCACTGTTAAATCATAATTTATCATAGTCCATGATCAAGAATTGAATCATGTAGCTCAAATGATGCAGCCTACAGATGTTTAGAAACCGGAAAAAAGGTCAAGGGAGTACATGGATAGGGAAGTGTTCCTGCTGAGCTGGGCGAACATTAGTGGGGTCCTAAAAGAAACAGGACTAGTAACTAGCTATAGTCTCTGTAACAAAGTTGATACGCATCGATTGGTCATATATACTCTTCTCTGTGACATACATTATGCCAAGCACACAATCCCTCACCAGCCCTTCCCAGAATCCCTTTAAATTAACTATCTTGGCTGAGTTCTAAAGATGGAAATAAACTCTTGAGTTCTCCAAAATTGCTCAAGAGTCAGGGATTTCAATTAGACCTGACCCTGACATCTGTAATCTTCATCATGATGCTGATAACCGTTATTTGAACCTAACAATGTCAGGAGCGCTATCTCTGAGCATTTTGCATTCCATGAAAGTTAAGTAATATTCTTTATGTGTGAAGTAGATTTTGAGGCAGTATGCTTAACTATATGGTTCATTTCCTTTGGATTCTTAATACATAGGATTTGGTGGTAAAAATATACAAAATATTCCATATGAATTCTTCTAAGGGCCTTGTGGTATATGATACAAAAGGAATTATTTTGTGTTCAAAGTTTGTCACACATAAAATTCCAGTTGGTATTGAATATCTGAAAAGGGAACATTAAATCTTGACCTCAGAATTTATCTCCATAAAGAAGAAAACATATAGAAAAGGAAAAAAATAAGTATATGCTTAAAGGGATTCTTCAGTTAGGATCAAAGCTATTGTGATATTGGCATTATTGGTATGTGTGGATTTCTCTGCTGCTGAAGAAATTGAAATTCTACTGCTAAATTCTAGGTTGTATGTCTACTGGGATTATTCATGTCTCTAAATTTGCTTGACAAAGGAGATGTCTACTTCATCTTACGTTTCTATTTGAAAGAAACTTGATTTGCATCTTTTTTATGTTAAGAAATAAATATTTTTAAGTTTCATATCTCACTGCTTCCTCAAAAGTACTGTCTAAAGTTGTGCTTCTCATTAAAGTTAAAAAAATGTTAAATATATATTTTTCCTAAAATTCTTAAGGTACATTTGGGGCTGGGTGTGCTAATGCTGTTTGAATCTTTCATTAGGAGACACAGGACAGGCATGATTGAAGAATTTTATTTGAATATGGCATAAACTAGCATGTGCAATTGCCTTTTAATATGATATAGAAGTGATAAATCAGCAATACCTATAAGAAATTGCCAGAGGGATGGGATTTAACTTGTCTGCAGAGTATGTTTCCTTATCTATAATAGTAAGATTATGACAATACATAAATAAAACCTTGTGCCTTTAACTCAGTCTTGGGTTCCTTTCTCAGGATTGTAGTCCTATTAACTGTAGATTGTTTTCTCTCTAGCTAGGGACTCCAGGGTCAGCTCTGTGGTGTTCAGTTTTGTAGCATCTTATTGCAAACCATCTCCTACCACTGACTTGGCAGCCATCAAGCAAATTAACATCTCTGAGTGCCATGACCTTCAGACTTGCCACGATTTTCAAATGCTTTCCCATTGCTTTTCCCTTACTTCCACTCATTTATCTTGTCCTGGAAACTTCAGTGTCCACCTGAATAATCCTCTTACTAACCTGGCCTCTTAGTTCTTTGACTTCCTCACCTTAAAACTATTCTACCCCAGACTTTCAGCGTGTTTCCTACTTACTGTATAGACTGTTGACCAGAGTTGATAACTTATCATAAATATTGTTTAGGACCTCCTCTGACCTCCTCCACCAGCTGATCAAGGTCAGCTCCTTTTCCAGTTCTTCTCAGTACTTGACCCCAACTCTTGCCTCAGAACTGAGGCTGGGGCAGAGCTTTCAGCTTCCTGACACCAAACCTACTTATACCTGTCCGTCCTTCTTTTCTTATGCTTGCTTTCTGCTTCTTGGGGACTTTACAGGGATGGTAGATTTCCTTTCTCTTTCTCTTGACAGTCTTCCTTGAAGACAGTTTCTTTCCATCAGCATGTAAGCATGTCAAATCACTCTATATCAGACAAAAAATCAGTAATCACCCTTCCTCCCAAAACTCCTTTCCTAGCACCATATCCCCTCCACTCATATTCCCTTTATAATCTGAAATATTTTAAGAATTTTCTTAATCCCATGCCTCCATTTCTTTACCCTATTTTTCTCAACTTGCTTCAAAATGCATTATAATGATAGCAAGCATTATAGTGTTAGGTGATAAAATGACTACTACACACCATATTTCTGAAACCAGGGAGCATCTCTCAGCTCACTATGATTTGACTTCTCATTTCTTGGTGTTGATTCTCCCCTCCTTCCTCACTAGAACGAAGCTTTTTGTTTTCTGACATAATCATTTTCTGATACTTCTCCAACTATCTTCCTGCCTTATAACATCAAATACTAGAGTTTAATCAAGGTATACTCTTAGGTACTAATACTTTTCACTCTTGTTCTCATTTTACTTAATACTTTCTGTCTAGGCTTTGTCATCTAAACTCATGAGTTCTGTTTATTCATGACATTAAAATAAATCTTTAACTCCATTTCTAACACAAATACCTGCTTACATATCAGCTTTGCTTGAATGCTTGTAGAAACCTTGATCTCAGCACATCCAAAATGTTATTTAGTCTCATTTCATTTCTATCTCAGTTGTAAACATCCCCATCCATCCAGTTTAATAATTCAGAAACCTAGGAGCCTACTTCTTCTCAGTGGCATGTTTAATCTACCAACAAACTTTTTCAACTTGCAAGTCTTCATGTCTCTTTCTATTCCACAATGCTAGTCTAAGTGGCCAACCGTTTTTTTTTTTTTTTTTTTTTCCCGTCTCTGCTATATAGTGTGTCAAATCTTTTAAGAATGCAAATTGACTGTCTTTCCTGCTTGCTCTTAGATTGAAGACCAAAATCTTTAGCATGGCCCTCATGTTTATTTATGGACTCCTTGACTAATTCATTTCTTTAAAAAATATTCAATAAAAATACTTTTCACACTACATAGATACAGTGGTAAATGAGACAAATCTCCTGCTCTCATGGAGTGATGTAATATCTATATAACAATTGAAAAGATCAACAACTGAAGCATAAAAATATACTTTTCATGGTGATAATATGACAAGTTAAATAACTTTACAAAGGTAGAGAAATATGCCTAGTTCTTTGTTATAGACAGTCTTTCCCGATGCTTAAGGATACTCCAGACCTCGAAATGTGTCTTTGGCTCCTCCTATTCCCCTTGCTCCTCCTCCTCCTCTCCCTCTTCCCCTCCTCCTCCTTTACCTCCTCCTCCTGCTCTTCCTACTCCTCTACTGTCTGACTCTTGTTGGTTAGTGCTCTGAAAGCTTTTCTCTCCCTCCCTTCACTAGACCTAGTTTTGTCTTAATTGTCAACTCCAGGCTAACGGGAGCACCTTCCTGGCCTCTTACCCATCAAATTCTGATGTATTCTTCAGATCATGTCTTTGTTTTCATGCTGTCAACTGAGCTTTATGTTGGATATGGGTGGGCTTTACACCGTCAGTGATGTCTTTACTGCTTATATTGATGCTAACATTTTTTTAAAATTTATTTTTCTTAAGCATTAATCTCCCCTGAGGAATCATGTTCATTACAAATCTAATTATGTTCTGCATAAAAACAGAGTAACACATTGATATAATAGTTACAAATTTTAACAAATTAAATTGTCCATATATTCAACTAACTAACTTAGTACATTGTTACATGATTTAAAGTACTGTATAAGCATGAATGTAAAGCTCTAATTCTTCCAAGGCACAGTTGTAGGCAGACTTGTACCTTGAGCATAATTTTCTGAGGCCCTTAAACACTACTCTCAAAATTAACCTCAACTTTTGGATATAGTGGGTCAGACTATCAAATGAACAGTCTTTACATAAATATAATCAAATTATCTAGCCATCTTACAATCATAAGTATACTACCAATTAAATATTTAAATTCCATAAATCCAGTCTGATTAGTTTAACCATTTCACATACCTTAAGTTAACTTTTATTTACTCATATGCCTCAAACATGGATGCTCTTAGTCTTTGGGGCAGGCAAGTGGGGTTTGGGGAGATAGAGCTCACAAGCTTGTGGAATGTTCCAGAAGAACAGTCTTGTGGAGCATTCCAAATCCCTCAGTTAGTAACCCTGTATTGCTTGGAAATACTTTTTGTTTCACAATACTATAAAGTTTAAGAGTCTCTGCTATAAATAACACACATGTGCCAACTATGATTGCAAAGTATTGCAAAGCACAAAATGTGTTCCATGGGTGTATTTTATGCATTTTATCAACTCTGGGCTTACTTTCAAATCTCCCAGGATGCAAAGATATTTCCCCAGTGCTCGCTTTGGCAGCACATATGCTAAAAAAATACTTCCTTAAATAAGGAGGAAAGATTTTCTCTCTGACCAGCTGATATCACTGGTCTAAGACATAAGCTACTGATGGATTTGGATACACGTCCAAAGCAATTCTACCTGAGCCCTGGATTTAAAAGTGAGTTCTATTTCATAGTCAGGCTCTGCCTTCTTCCCCAGTTCTTTATCTGTGTGCTCTCTCACGATCGTGCTCCTCATCTGAGTTCTGTTCATCCTGTCTACACTGAAAGTAACTCTTTTCCTATGACTGGAAGTTTCTTTTGCTCCTTACATTTGATTTCCTTTTTCTCTCTTACCAACACTATTATACAGTATTATTCTTTGTATATAGCCCTAGCACAATTTTTACTGAGCAGTTAAGTCCTTGATGACCTAATTATCTGTCTCCCTCACTAGACTGAGTTTTATTAAGCCAGACTCTGCCTTTTGTTCATTCTCTTATCTCTATTGCATGGCATAAGATAGCTGTGTAGTAAATGTACTAGTAAGGAAATTAAGAATAAATAACTGTCCAGGAAAGGTGTGACAACACACTGAGAATCACATGTTATGGACTTTTAGACAATTACATTTTGCTATTCCTCAAATCAGAGGCCACCTTAAAATTAAACAATTATATCAGTATATGAAGGAATTACATCAAGAGGTTTTATCCACTCAAAAAGAAAACTTGGCCTCATCAGATATCTAATTGCTACTCAGCTATAAGCAAGACATCAAATCAATGTATCAGTATAGACACACACAAAGTCAAATATACAGTGTGTCCTAGTGAGAGTAGCTTGCTCTTGCTATCTCAAAACAATAGAGATGTTCACTGACATGAGATGTCTTCACTCTGAAGAAGGCGTATAAGGACACCTGGCAGGTTTCTGCACAGACTACTATGGAAACAGTATGTAGCTTCTAATAAGCCTTTGGAGAAGGAGGGATGTGGCTGATAAGCCAGGAAAACTAGAAAGCACAGGGCAGCTTCTGCCTTTCTTCCACCAGCCAGCACCTTTCTTTATTTGCTTCTGCTTTCACTGTCCTTCAGTCTTGGCTTCAGGACAACCACCCACCTCCAGTGCTTCTCTGCCTCCTCCATTCTAGCCCTCATGCTAGCGTAGATGTCTTTTCCCTGAGCTTCTATAGCACCACTTCTCATATCCTTTCCTTCCCACCCACTCCTTGAAAACTGTGCAATGGTTAGAGTGATGTATGATTTTCTGTGGAAAAAAATAGTAGCCATTGTTTACAGTGCCTACAAAGAACAGATCCATAGCAGCTATTAAACAGTTGTGAAATGTTCACCCTGTCTACACTGAAACCAACCTTTTTCCTATAAACTGGAAAATTCTAGAATGAATGAATTGTTCTGACTCCTTGCTGTGGTAGCCAATTTTTTTTTTCTTGTGAGACAGAATCTCACTCTATAGCCCAGGCTGGCCTTGAACTCAGGATCCTCCTGTCTCAGCTACGTAACTGCTGAGGTTATAGGTATGTATCACCACACCTAGCTGAGATAGTTACTTTCTGATTATCATTGGCCTTCAGAGGTCAAAAAAGGAATACATGTGGTCCCCTTATTAGGTAATAAAGTGGTGTTTTGCTTCTCAGTTTCTGAATGCTTAATAAAGGTGTGCCTGTTCCTCAGAGAGAAGTCAGATAGGCTCAGGTGTGCTCAGGTAGGGGCAGGTATGCTCAGGCATGGTCAGGTATGCTCAGGTATGGGCAGGTATGCCATCAGATAGCAAACTTCCCTATTCTCATCAGCAGTTGTCTCATTTTAAAACCCCCTCATCTGCATCTTTCTGACCCCAAGATTTGCCTTTATAACATTCATACAGGAGAGGAAAATGATTCAAGGCTGAACCCAAAGGCAATTTTATATTGAACAAAAAGAACAGGCAAGTGATAAAAAGCAGCTTACACAAAGACTGCATTCATCAGAAGGCCCCAAATGTTAGATTTTTGTTCAGTTTAGTATCTGTGTAGCTATTTAGTTCTTAAATGGTATGATCTAAATTTATTCTACATTGAATCTGTAAAGAGTTTAACCTGTGATGAAAAAACAGCTTGTCTTACCGGCTTCATCCCAGGAATCTATTTTCACCTCATATGAAATATCATACAGGGTTTTGTTTTCCTCTTTTTTTTTTTAGAGGCCTTGGAGTTTAGTGAAAATGAAACTTAAAGCAAAGGTGGGAAATATATGGAAGAGGCTCACTGATGTCGAGAGGGCAATACCTGAAGCAGGGAGCATCTTCCACCAACACTTTATTCTGAGCTTACCATCCATACTGATTATCTGTCAATAACAGAAATCATATATCAGAGCTTTAAAGAATTTTGTACTGTGCTTATTTCTAGCATAGGCCCTTTAGGTATGATTTGAGTAGCTGCTACTCTTACATCCTTTCAACATGCAAGACTGCTAAAATCTTGCTATCCATTAATTCCATTTACTCCTATAATGACCCAGCATCTACATGATTCAGCTCTCTATTCATCACCTTCCAAGACCGAGACTTGCTCAAAAACGTAGGAAAGGAATTGGCAGTGTCAAGAGTTATATTTGACCCCAAAGTTGATGTTCCTATTTTCACTGTAGTGGTCCAAATTCCATAAGAACAAGTCTGAATCATGTTTGGTAAACACTGGTTCCAACCCTGATGGCTACTGTCACTGACCTGTCCCAGGATACACTCTGTTGTGGTTGTTCTGTGAAGCTCTGTTGGTGAAAATGCATTATTTTCTACCTTCCATGGTAATGCTTATGAACAATTCAAGGAAGGAAGACATGCATGAATGACAGAATATGTTGAGTGAAACAGAGTAAGGCAGTGTTGCAAATGCCAATAATATTATGTAAAGGTACCATTATGTGTAACATGTAATCAACAATGATATGAGGCCAGTAAATTGTGTTCAATATGGTCAATCAGGCAGAAATTCATAAAATGAAACCCAATCACATAAAATCAGTATGTATAATTTAAGATCTCCTTTCAGATTCTGGGAAGATGGGGGATCAATAAGTAACAAGGTACAGAACCTGTCTGAGAGAAACAGCTCAGACACTAGAACTTACCACCATGGAGAAGACCCAATGAAAGAAGAGGGATTCTCATGGCCCAGGAAGAAACTAAGGAAAAATAAAAAGAAAACAAAGAAAGAAAGAAAAGAAAAACATGGACAGAAGGCTGGAGCCAGATGCACTCTCACCAGAGCCGGCCCAAGTGATAGTTGCAGTGCTTTCATTGGAGTAAGTTGGACCTGTGGTCGCGGCAGTCTCACCAGAGCCACAGTCCCGCTGAAGTCAGGGGTTGGCGAACCTAACGGAGAACAGAGCCAGCATGAAGACCTGCACTAACCTGTGGTGAGTGCTCAGAATTTGTCCTTCCCGCAAAATGAGGGTGACCAACTGGATGACATATTGGTATTGGACAGGATGGGCCCGAACAAGGAATGGCAGTGACTTCAATTGGCTGCTCCCTGCCCAGAGAAGATTGGTGAGATCTGATTGGGCTGGGTCACCGCTGGCTGAGACCCAATAGCCAGGGACGAAATTGTCCCCAAAGTTGTCCTGAACTGGTTCCGTCTGCACAGCACACACTAATGTGGTGAAGGCCCCTGCTGGTTGACTGGTTCAGAGGGGAGGGGCCAGCCTACACCACCCCTGCTTGCACCTCAGTGACCAACAGCAAACTGGAGAGAGCAGCAATCCCTAGCCAGGTGCTTTAGAAAAACCATAACCAATACAGAAAAGGGCTGGGACCTTCTACCATACACCTGTATGGAAGAAACAAGAAACATGATAAGAGAAAGAAATAAGAAAAAGCCTCCAGCCAACCCAGGGAATATGGGTCCAGGAGAGGTAAATACAGAAGAGATTAAGGCCAGTAATCATGCAATACTGGACATGGCATCAGCTGACATAAAGAAATATCTTTTTGAAATCATAGACAAGCCCAAAACTGAAATATTAATTTACATAAAGTAAAATATAAGAAGTTTAATAAAAGAAATGCTACTCATCTCTCAAGAAGACACAGATGGAAGAATGAAGGAACACACAAAAAAGAAGGGAAACCTTTAATGAAGAATATAAAAAAAAAAAAAAACCTAGAATGCAAAATCACGACAGACTTCTCGACACAAACCATCAAATCAAGAAGAGCTTGGAGAGAAGTATTACAAGCCCTGAAAGAAATTAACCTCCAACCCAGATTGATGTACCCTGAAAAACAGTCTCTCAGAATTAATGAAGAAACAAGATGCCTCCATGACTAAGAGGAACTGGGGGAGTTCATGATCACTAATCCAACCCTACAAAAAATACTGAAGGACATTCTAGAGAGAGGGAAAAAAATCACCAGGATTCCAGCAACAGTGGCAGAGAGGCCTCAATGAATGGGGGAGACAGCAGAATGAAGGAGAAAAGTAGACAACTAATGGCAGAAAAATAGCATAGCAGAAATGAGACCGAGAAGGTTGGCTATACTCTCTAATATAGATGGCCTTGACACACTAACAAAAAGAAACATCAGCAGAGTAGATCAGGAGATAGGGTCCATCGAGATGCTAGCATAATTAACCTGAAAGAGGGTTTATGGACCAAAAGTCAAATATGAGAAAATGATGCTCTATGTGACAGGGAACCAGAGAGAAATAGGGGCAGCTCATCTAGCACCTGCAGATAGATTGGAAAGACATGACACTTTTGTTCAGTAGAGAACTACTCACTATAATGAAGGAAAACCTTGAGACTTTTGTGGGTAAAGGAACATAACTTGAAAGATCAAGCTCAGGGGTAAAAAGTTTCAGAACCACTTAGGTAAATAGCAGGTTGCATCCCTAACCTAAAAACTAAGGAGTTAGTGGGACCCAAAATGTACAACACACCCTGTGAAAATGGAAGGGGAGGAACTGTCTAAAAAAGGAAGGCAGAGAACATCGTTAATAGTGTATCACGATGTAAAATCCACATAGTTCTTATTGCTCTATTTAGTTAGGTTATATTCTGTTCCAGTCTGTCTACTTCTACTAGACTACTCTACTACTCTATTACTACTAGGGCAGAGATAGCTATTCCGAAAATAGCAGGGTATACCATGGTAACCATCCTTAATTTCCTCTTAACTTAATCTGAAGCTCTGTATTATTTACACTGCCTTATTATGACTGATCTTATTTGAATCTGGTTTGTTGGACCGCTGTTTTATATTGATTGATTTTATTCAAATCTGTAATGATTGATAATATCAAGTCTGAGAGTACAGGCAAATACTCTGAAAATGGTAAGATTCACTAGGATACCCACTCTGGCTTGAGTATTACCTGCTTTGAAGTTTTATAATGTCTCCAATATTTTGTTTTTATTAATATTGTTATGTACTGCTATGTTCAATTATACTATGCCTGATGATATAGACAATTCTATTGAAGATAGCAAGAGACAACACAGTAACCATTATAGATCACACTGTATTGTGGTTTTATGTAACTTTTTCATGATTTTTTTAGGAATTTGTTTTGTCTTGTTTTGTTTTTCCCTCTAATATAGAAAGGATAGATATACATGTAGAGATTCATGCATGCATATGAGAACTGATTATATAATGTATGATGAAATTAAGAAAAAGAGACACTAAAATACCCAGTGCTGACTCCATAACATCATCATGTGAAATCCAGCAATACTATTATTCTTTGTTCAGAGTGATTTCAGTCTGTTTTGTTTTGTTTAATTTCAACATACATGAAAGTATGGACAGCTATTTTGAAGAGAATGAGAGACACTATGACAATCATTATTGACTTACTTATTGTCTGGTCTTGAAGACCTAAAATGCCTTCATTATCCTGTTTTGATCAATTTTATAGTATGTTGTTTTGTATGAATTCACTGTGTGTGAAGATATGGACAACTATTTGGAAGAAAACAAGAGACAACATGATAGACAGTGAAGATCTCCAGTTGTCTTGCTTTGAAATCTGTGTCTCTTACATAGTTTTCTTATGATCTGTTTTGTTGTTTTTAATTTTACTCTATTTAAAATGAAGTTTAAAAATTTTTTAAAAAAATCTTTCATTAAAAGAATGCAGTACAAAATGGTGGAGTTTTTAGTTTATTTTGTCAAAGATTCTCTTCCTTCCTTTCTTCCTCCATTCCTTCCTCTCTTCCTTCCTTTTATACTTCTATCGTGATTCTCATATTTAAATGTAACTAAAGTCAGATGGTGATGACCAGAAGGTGGCATGGATCCAAATTCGCTTCCCCCCAGGGAGCCAGGTCCAAAGTCTCCCTCTTAGAGTCAAGGAGTTTTTCAGGGCAACCCACATACTACTGGCCTGGCAATTCTGTTCTTACACAGCAGAGATCTGTAGAGGAATCTTTTTGACTAGGTAAGAAGGTGTTGCCAAATCATTGCCAAAACATAATTCTGCCTCTAGCTTCCATGAAGATTTGGGAAAGGGGAAAAGTGGTTGCTGAATAATAGACAGGTTTTTATTGACCAAAGTGTTTCTTTTTTATCTTGAAAAGATCATTTTAGGGTATCTAAAGAGGTAGAATGCTCATAGTTTGGGATTATGGTGATTGATTTAAGTTGATAGGGCTAAAGCATGCCCACATAGCCGATAACACTTTACTTCTAGGTGAGTTGTGGAAGAGTGTTTTTTGTTTTGTTTTGTTTTGTTTTGGTGTGAGTGGTGGGTGTACCAGAAATTGAACTTGTGACCTTGCATTTGCCAGGCAGGTGCTTATAGCTGAGCTACAACCCTGGCCATATCCAAGAGTATTTCTGAAAGAAATTAAAATTCAAATTGGTAGCCTTAGTCAAACAGAAGGAACAGCATCCCCCAGTCCATTGAGGTCCTGAAGAAAAGGCACCTGCCGAGGAGGGGGGATTTGTTTCCTGTTTGAGCTTGGACGGCCTTCTGCCCTGCCCTTGAATGTTGGCCGTCCTGGTTCTGGAGCCTTCAGACCAGGACTGAATTATTACACTGGCTTTCCAGCTCACACACAGCAGACTGCAGACTTACCGGCATTCTTATAAACTTGTGAGAAAATTCCCATGTCAATCACTGTCTCTCTCTGTTTCTTTTTCTCTCTTCATATCTCTGTCTCTCTCTGTCTCTGTCTCCATGTCTCAGTCTCTCTCTGTGTCTCTCTCTCCATGTCTCCATCTCTGTCTCTCTTTCTCTCCAGGTTGCCACATCATTTTGTGTGTGTGTCTCTCTCTCTGTCTCTGTCTCTCTTTCTTTCTCTGTCTCTCTCTCACTGACTTTCTGTCTCTGTCTGTTTCCTTCTCTCCCTTCCTCTTTCCTTTGCTCTCTGTGTGTAGGTGTATTTCCTATTTCCCTTGAGAGCCTTGACTAATAAGATTTTATAAAACCAACCTTGCAGACAAGGTCAACTGAAGTTCAGAGCTGCTTTTTTCCAGGCCTGTGTGCCTTTAGAGTATCCAGTGTTTTCCTCTGTGCCACCACTCTCCATGACTTATCCTTTCTTACCAAACTTCCAAGAGGATTTGCCTGATGTGAAACACAGGGTCTAACAGTCCACATTTCACCCAGAACTTACTGTGTCACGGGCTCCATACTAAGCATTTTGTTAGAGGCTATTTGAATGTAATCAGGTTTCTTGTGAGGCCCAAGTAGACAAGGGAAGGTTAGCAGTTCTCAGTAACTTTTCCAAGTATCCAAGTCTGACTTCAACATTCTAGACTTTACCTTAAAATTGAATAACCTTGCACTGAACAGACAGAGTGCCCGTTGTATGCTAGATACTGCAGACACTGGTGATATACGAAGAGAGGAAAGCAGAATCCCTGCTTGTGGGTGCGTCTTTGGGAAAGTAGGGGAACCACAATCAAATAAACCAAAAATTACTATTAGAGAACGATAGTTGTATAAAGACTATGTCTCTACAGTGATAGAGGCATGGGTGTGTATGTCCAGAAAATAGACTAGGAAGATATACACCATAAGAATGATTATCTCTAGCCGGTCAGATTTTTCTTTTCCTTTGCTTTCCTTCTGGAGAGTGAACCCAAGGGCTTCATACTGAACCACATCGCCAGCTGTTTTCATTTATTTATTTTTTATTTTTTTATTTTGAGGCAGTGTCTCTTTAAGTTGCTAAATTGCCCAGGTTGGGCTTGAACTTGCAGTCTTCCTGTCTCAACCTTTTAGAGGGCTGGAATTACAACTGTGTACCACCAGGCCTGCCTCTAGGGTCTTTTACTTTTAAAAAATTTCAAGTATTTTAGCAGCTTTTTATTTTGATAATCAAATTAGACACAATAGCATTAAAAACAGAGTTCAATCTTAGAAAATTCTGATCAACCGCATGTGGTTTAGGCATTTTTCTCGTACATGATTTCATTTCAGTTCTTTGTATTCCGTTCTTTGTATTGAGAAAAAACAATGTTTTTTATTGTTGTTGGGGCTTTTTTGTTTGTTTTATGGGTTGGTTGGTTTGTTTTCCTTAGCTGTACCAACATCTGAAACATTCTCCAGGAAACCTGTGGACCTTCTCTGATGCAAGCTTTTCTGAGTTCATGCTTATCTGGGCTTCTCAGAACTGGCTGCTCCTTTGAATCTCTTGGGAAGCCAAGGCTACACCCCCACACTTGCAGAAGCCCTGGGCTGGAGTTACTGGGCCTCTGTATCAGAAGTCTCTTGGTAGCTGTCACACCTCCAGGGTTGAAGAGCCTGTACCTGGAACTCTTTCCTATTGTTCCTCAGAGTCCCAGCCCCATTTCTTGAGGGCAGCCAGGGCTCAGGGCATCCCGAGCTCCCCTCCCACCCTTCTTTCCTCTGTGTCACACTGGGTTTGGGATAGGCCAGAGCAGGTGGCCAGGGACAGGCAGAAAGAGCCAATCCTGAGCCCTCCGGCACCTGGCTCCCTGGCCAGCCCCTCCCTCCTGACCTACTTACTCTGCACTCACAATGGGAGCACCTAGGGAACTGGAGCCTGGAGAGACACTTAACAGGGACAGATCACTGTGCAGGTGGAGGGATAGACACATTCCAGCCCCTCCAGACTTTTCACCGTCCAAGCACACAGCATGCACCGTGTCAGTTTTGCATCTTTGCCCTGCTGCCTGCTCAGACTGAAACATTCTGTGATGCCAGCTCTCTTTTTCTCTGGGGGCTGAATGCTCCTCTCTGAAGATGAAGCTCTCTGTCCTCCCACACACTTCTCAGACACACTGAATCCCTCCTCCCCATCCCTTGGCACCCTCAGGAATTTGTTCACACCGTTAATTCAGCACTTAGCACATTATATTGCCGGGAAAAGCTGTCTATCTCCTTGACCAGCCTGGGAATCCTCAAAGGCAGCACTGTGTCCTGATTTATCTTACACAGCATCCTCTTTGCTTTCCAAGATGACTGATTGATGCCTTCCAAGTAGATAAACTCAGGCCTTGATTTTCTACAGAACCAGGTTCAACCCCAGCTCTGCCCCTTCTGGTTAAATGGAAAACCATCCTGTTTGTGGCCACTCCCTCCACGAACAGGCTAGAAATGGAGAATCTGAAGGATTTTCACAACAGGATCTGCAGTTAGCAAGATCTTCAGTGATTCACAGGCTCCTGAGATGCATTAGTGGCCTGTTTAATTCTTAACTTGTTCAGCTGTGAAATGGAAATAACTGCTAATTTACAGCATTGTTGTGAGGTTTGAATGAGGTTGCCCTCAAAGTGTCCACTGCAGGATATGGAATATTGGAGCTATTTTTGTTGTTTTTGCTCAATGGATGTGTCCCTAGGAGGGAACAGGTCCATAGTAGCACACATTAAGGGACCTACGGCCTGCCCCAGTGAGCCCAGGATCCCTGTAGTAAAGTAGTTTAGCAGCCCCTCCACAGAGAAGAGGAAAAGAGGAAGTAACAGCTTCACTAGGGCTCAGTTTGGAAGAGACTGTGGTTTCTGTTCTACTGGTGAAGGGGTTTTCACCCTACAGAATATCTAACCTGCAATACTTGGATTTCTTGAGCCAGTCTCACTTGCCAGTGAAGGCTGATGACATTGAAGCCCACCTACATTTCCCTCATGTTATGGAGTCCATTGTTTAAAGTGCATGAAATTCTCTTTGAAGATCTCAGACCTTTAGATAGTACATGCACAATAAAACTGTGGAATAGGAAAGTGGGGTTGTTTGGTTTGATCATCTTTGTATGAATTAAATATCATGAAAATTCAAAATTCCATCCTACACATAGACCATACAATGTATGTGGGGACTGCTTTGGAATGTTCCATTTCATTTTATATTTATTATTTGAGAGTCATGAGACTGTACCCTAGGATCAGTTTTCTGGAGCATAGGGTAGAGGAATATCAGTACTGCAGCGATTTAACAGAAGAATCTATTCCAATGTGGTTAGGATCTTTCCGCACAGAACTCCTGACTTCATAACTTTTGGGGAGAGAGATCTGTGTCTGCCTGGTCTGCAGCCACCCCTATCTGAGGCAGATGTGGGACTGAGCCACACCTCTACCTATGCTAAATCTACTCTCATCAGATCCTACCAGCCCATGAGGGCAGATAATCAAGTGGAATGACACTGATTCAATGGCATCAGCTTCAGTTCTTAACCTTCATTCATTGCTCCCACACAAATTAGATCAAGGTTGCTTCCTATCCACTCTCTGGAACATAACGGGAAAACTTTGTCCAGAAAGCCAAGAGAAGCTGTAGGATATTCACAGATATACCAGCAAAAGATAAGTGCATGCTTCAACCATGTGGCTTGAGCACTAGAAGTCAGGCAGCAGACAGGAATTTCTGGCAGGACTGGGACAATTTGTCAAAGCAGCACCATGCTATTTTTTGATTATGTGGTACAGACTTCAGGGCACAGTGGAGATTTCTGCCAGTAAGGTAGCAGATTAGGGACAGGAAGCCAACAGGCACTGTTAGATTCTTCTTCATACCTCACAATGGGAATTAAATTTCAATACACAAAACCACAGGGGACACTCCAGCCATATTCAAAACATAGCAAGGAAGTAGTAAAATAAAGTGTGTTTGAGTTCTAATAGGTCCTAGACTCTGTCAGTGGCTGACATTCCCAACAACTTACATTAATGAGCAAAACTAGCAGAATTGTGTTTGTTGAAGGTTCTGTGAGGTTCTGTGAGGACATCTCATGTTCATGACGTTGCTGATCTCACAGAATAGGATCTATT